CGACAGCCTACGACCGGTTTCGCCCTTCTTCGGGTTCATCAGGTAGGCGCAGTCCCCGAGTTTCCGTCAACCTTATGTTCTACTTGAACCCAAATTGGACTGTTTTCGAGAAATACACTCACTTCAGATCAATTTGGTTTTCACGAGAGACTCAACTGAATCTCTCGTTTATGATATTCTACAACTGAATTTGCTGTACACAGGCCGCCTCGTGTTTCAGTTGGAACAACAATCGAGATAGCGCAGTATATTTTCATAAAGGAAACTACTCACAAGGTTGCTCAAAACTCGACATCCCACGACCGGCTTTGCCCTTCTTGAGGCTACCACGTTAATTTGTCGATTGGTTTCCTATACACCTAACCAGTCCCTGAAAATAAAATTATTTACCCTACTCATCTAAGTATTTATATTTTTATCACGTAGACATCCAATTCTATCCCCAAGAGGACTTCGGTTGTCAAGTGTAAATTTACTGAGACTTGCACATCGCCCTTGTTCGATGAAACACAACCACGTTTCAGCTGCTGAGTAGTATACATAAATTGAATTGATGTAAAAGCTTTTCTTTGCAGATAGAAAAAACAAAAGTTTCCGTTGCAATAGTAGACAAAAAGACATGAAATCTGCTAAGAAAACATCCGAATACGCTTCTAATCTCATTTAAGACAAATTGCGTAGGTGAACTATTCGCATTCTCATTTGTATCATGGACAACAAAAATACAATGACTATTTTGCGAGTGCTTAACTTGCATATAAGAAATCATCAGTTTAACAGAAAGGAATACAGTAAGACATGCACTGATTAGGCTATTGGGGAGTCAGCAATGTCAGAGCTTTTATCTGCCCTGTTGCATGAAGCAGGTATTGTGCCTGGGCTGACCAGGGAACAACTTCCGATGTAGTGCGCAATGTTTAATTGCATGAACCATGCCTGTCTGTTTGCTTAGATTTTGAAAGAGTGCTGCAGCCTGAATGGAGAAAAGGTTGCAATGCTTATACCGGATTTCCGCTTTAGATGTCTCACCTCAAACAGCATCGTCACGCTTGTTCAATCCCCATCGGGAAGCCTAGATGTGGTTTGTCGAAGTGGCCCAAGCAGCTTTCCCGACACTTGCATGATTATTTCTTTGACTTTTTGGTTTTGCTGCTTCACTTCTTCCTTTTCCAAACTACCTTTCCTTCGAGTAATTTATGGAAGCATTTTTACGCAGTAGTGTAATACTTGCGTGATACTGAAACTTGGACATCAAAATCATTAAAAATAAACCGGTTGGTATAACACTGGAACATGCCTCTGCTTAACAGAAGCATAAGACAAGTCCTAACCATCAGCTGTCAGGCACTAGCATCACTGTCATAAGGTTCTGAGTGAATAACAATAACTGCAGCCTAGCTTTTTGACATTATTCTTTATGAAGTCCAGTGTGATTTAAACTAGATTGCCCAAATGCCTTTGCCAATAGTTTTTTTAAACGGCTTTCTTATAAGAATTTGGTTTGAAGGTAGTACGTTTGATTGCAGGCACGAGTCGTAAATATATAGCAGCTACACGAGATTCATGATAATAATATGGCTACCAAAGAACTTGATTTTACCTATGGGGGAGGCAGGGTCCAGTGTTGCTATACAGCGCCTACGTATTTTCCTTGCCTAGAAGAAATTTTTTCCGACAATTTTGAGGAAATCAAGTTATTTCCTGACCAAAAGCCTGGTATGCAATGCATTAGAAAATGAAGGATTTTTCGCAGATGTTTTGCTTTCCATCGCTTTGGCCTTGTTGCCCTGTTGCGCTACATTAACCCGAAGCGCGTCATGTTTATTTTACAAATGGGTGGATTTTTTTATCAGTGACAACATAGAACAAAGCACTATTTAGGCGATTCCCACTGTTTAAACTCTTTGCCCAGAGCAACTCACGTGAGACAATGTCTTCTTCGATGCAAAACCATTGTTTCAGTTTTTATCTGTAAGTCCAAAGGGGAAAGACCTAACTAATTTCCTTGAAGTTACAAGAGTGGAAACGCCTCCCAACCATGCAGTTGGTAACAAACTGGTGTAATTCTCTCGAGCAATTTAAAACTGCTCCAGGGCTGGCAATTATCATCGGATGGATGAATTTGATTGAATTATAGTTATGTTCTTCTAAACAAGAAATGAGACAGTCAAATTTGAACTGGGAAACATCTCTTTCTACACAGCAGATGTTAAATGTTAACTTAAAAGCTAATTAATGACGGAAGTAAAAAGTAGTGTATCTTGTGGAACTCTGTTTGTCAAGGGAACTAGATGATATTGCGCGAATTCCATTTATGACAGACTACTGTTCTTTAACAGGGGACCTGACAGCTCCTTCACACTAATATACAGTATATATATATATATATATATATATATATTGCATGCTAGTTTTAATTCAGAGGACTGAAGAACTGCAGGAATTAGGTGTTGCTGTGTCAAAATGCGCCAGCAGGAAACGCGCATTGTAAGTCATTTTCAGAGGACGAAGAACTGCAGGAATTAGGTGTTGCTGTGTCAAAATGCGCCAGCAGGAAACGCGCATTGTAAGTCATTAAACTAATGCATTGATGCCGCTACATGTAAGTGGATCTTCCGTACAAAATCTCACAAAATTAATATATATCCTTTCCAATCGTGGTCTGTCTGGAGCCATGTTACCACACTGGAGGACGACAATCCCAGTCACCTAGAAGCCACTTAAATTTCATAGGTAACCCAATAACTGTTTCTTCAAAAGTTAATTTACAGTTCACGAAGGTCTAGAAACCCAGGTATTTATTCATTTATTACGAAAAGCGCATAGCAACTGCAAACCACTTGATTTGTGCGGAGAATAATGGGGTGTTCGTGATATAGCCGAAAATTCTCCTCAGAATTAATAGCCCAACTAGTTTTCCCATTGACAATGAACGCTAGCCATCGTTCACATTTAATACCACCAGTTTCCACACAGTATGTCTGTCAAACAGCCACCTATGTTTGGAATGGCTTAAAGACCGAATAGCCTTGGCCTTTACATTACAACATAGGGAAGCTTACATGCAAGCAAGATTTTTGAGAAGTGTGTATGACTCCAGAAACAAATGAAATGAGGCCCATGTTGCGTTACCGCAATGCTGCAAAATTTAATCACACAAACCGAAGCAACGGATTGGTTTTTGGTGAGATAAACATGGCAGCTACAATTGAGAAGTAAAGTTTATTGATACTCCCAATAAAAAGACTTTTCTTAAAGATAATGTGAATTTAACCGAAACGGATGCAGGAAAAGGAGTCACAGTAACCTTATCACTGGGAAATCAGTAAGTGTAAAATATAAACATTTAAATGAAGGGCTTCATCAGAACCAGATGGAGCGAAGGCACATATACAACTTTGTTAATGTGCTAATCAGTTAGGATTTTTTCGGCCCATGTCATCATTTCCTTTATTCGTAACACAGTAAGTATTTTGAGCTCATGAAAGCCACCTTTTTTGTTGGCTGTGAAAAGTGCGATATTTAAGGCATTGTTAGCCAACATATGTTGACAACTTGCCTTTGGGTTTTTGTAAAGATGCATATCGGATAGGAAATACGCAATAAATGCAAAAAAACAACAATGTGCATACTTAACCAATACGTGCACTTACAGAAAAAAAATAACTCTGTTTTACGCATATAAAGCACCCCTAGGCCACTTTTAACACTCCAAACGAGTGAGCTTACTACAAGCAGGTAGCTTCTTTCTCAAAGTATCTGTGTAAGGGAACACTGTCTCATTGTCAGAGTAATTTTGCAACCGAGCTATTTCGTTTTCTTCATCAAAACATGTATGGTTTTGATTTCGTTCTGAAGACTGGAACTGAAACTTGATTAAAGACTTATAATGCAAACAAACTATCGTTGCAACATTCAGTTAAAATACATTAGTGAAGTTCTATCGTTTACGCGGGTCCAATTTCTCATACTCCTGGTATAATGTACATCTTGGATACTGTTCTTTTCACTGATAGCCAAAATGGGAACGAATTGGAAAGAAACAGTTTTTGGAATCCATCGTCTGCAGTTTCTGCGCATCCACACATAAAACCTTATCACTTCGCTGGAGATAGATAGTCAGATAAACAAATTGGTGTGGACATCCATCCATTGCGTGACGATATTTATTGGCATCTGTCGACACATTAGAATTCCCCATGAACACTTTTTCTGTGATATCAATCTGTGGAAACTACCATTCCACAATGAACATTCTTGGTTACACCCATAGATCTAATCACTGGTTTCTCGTTTTTTGAATGGCAGTCAAGCATATTATTTGAAGCAAAGAGCTCCTTTAGCTGGGGTGAAGACGGATTACAAGGCACGTGGTGGACGAGACCTTGTGTCCTCTTTCTAGGATGGTGTGAGCCTTACATGGAAAGTTTGCTTTTTTTCCTTAGGGTATTATTTAACTCACTGGAAAATTTCCTATACGCTTAACTGCCAACCTTTGGATAACCAGACCAATTGCATTCAATGCTCCTAACTTATCGAGAGATGTTACCCAGTCTTTCGAACAAAGTTTGTTTGACACTAATCTTCCAACCAGTTTATAAAAACGTAATATGGGAGACAGCAGGCTGTGCAAAACAGGTCACACATAGCTCATACAGAATTTGGTTTGCTTGTTTTGATGATACCTGGATAAAACACAGGAGACAAACAAAATTCTATTCTAAAAACTACTGGAACGTTTTTTGTTGCAAAATATTTACTGGTGCTCTTAGTAAGCTCTGGAGCATTTTGTCACCTTTTTTAAAGCAGGAGCTATTCTTTATAAGCTTAATCGAAAATTCGTCATCATGTCCCTAGTCCCGATTAATTGCTTTCTGGGCAACCTTTTATAAGTGACGCTGCTAGTGTTGCGAAAAAAAGTTTTTTGAGCTATCAACGCAAGGATAGCTGTCTAAAATCGCAAAGGCGTTTCAGCTATAAAATACTTTGATTGTGCGGTCGTCAAGATGAAAAGCAATATGCTAGTTTTTAGAACAATTTATTATCGTATACTAGATAAGTGGAGGAACATCTGGGCAGTCAACAAAGTCAGGACTATTAGGCCGTTCTTGGAGCTGCTTTTGTTTTTGTGCATCCCTAGCCGACCGGTAGGTATTAGTTTTACTGGCTGGATTCTTGATGATAGACTTCCACGCGGGTACCGAAGGCTTGGCGGTTTCCAATTCTAACAGGGCGGCGGATGCTACTTTCTTGGAGCCAACTTTTGCATCTTCTGTGGAAGTCCTTGAAATTCGTGAAAAGAAATCGTCGAGAAATCGCTTAAAATGAAATACAATCGTAAAGGGCATAAACGTATTTCTAGTTTGGACCGTTTTTTCTAAGGTGAGGAAGCAAGCTAACGTAAAGCTTGCTTTAGTGAACATTTCATATTTAGATCACTCCAAGAGGAAAGGATGGATTAGAAACTTATCGCAATGGATTGGAAATAAAAAAACTAATATAATACAAAGTGGCTCGCTCAGTTATATCCTTGATGATGCTAAGACAAACTAGGTGAACTGATTCACTTTTCCTAGCCCATGCCTCAAATATGCCAACCATGAAAGTTAGGTAGTGGCGAAATTTGATGTTTTATACAAAATTTCATCTTGCATGCAAATTTATTCTGAACAAAAAAACTCTGGTCTTCAAAAATCAGAGGAAACGTGCATCTCGTGAATTTCTAAGAAGATATGAACATGGAACCATCAGCTCCAGAAATGAGTACGATAAGTTTAAGTGACACCAATTGTATATAGTTTCATCTCAAGGTTATACTCGGATGCCTTGGATAGCAATTCGACTGAAAAATGGAACGGCTCACAAAAAGCAGATTCATCTGAAAAAACACCGTCAACAAAAGATTAGGTCGAGCTTCTCGATCTGAAAGCCTGTTCCTAAAAGAATGTCATGAGCGTGTAATCAGCACTCAGACACAATACCACTTGACCCTTCTTCATTGTAGTTTCCGCCAATTCATCTGTTGTTGACGGGCGATCCAACTAGAGGCTTGTTAGTTGACGTGCTCAGCTTTTCATCAGCCTCAGTCATAGGCTGATAATTAGGATGCTGGTTGTCTAGCGCTCTTGCGAACTATAATTCCAGCATAGAACTAGCCAATGTAGAAGCAGTAATGGGGAACGCCTGTTGTCTCAACGCATGTGCGAAATCCAAGAAAGCATTGTGCTTATTTGGTGTGCACATAACGGAGTTGATCGAGTGAGAAATTTTAACCCAGTCGTCGAGCAATCTGTTCTCCTTATATGCAGCTGACGCGTACTGGTCGAGATAAAAAAACACGGGTTATTGCATTCGGAGTTTTACCGCTGATGTTTGTAAACAAAATGCACTATTTTCGCGATTTTCGTTTACTTGGTAAAGCGGTGCACCATCCTCAAAGCAATTCTGAGTGAAAATAGACTGGTTACACCCGTGGGAACATTGTCAAAACAGAAAGTCAAAAACCTAGCAGTCACGTAAGTAGGAAGCAATAGGATTGAACGGCTTCAAGATTCACTAGCCTCAATAGCACTTTAGCAGTATCACTGTCGTAACCCAAGTCTGCAGGTGCACCAACAGACTGAAAAAGCTACAAAAACTATCAGGGTTTTATTGTATGATGAACTGCATTCATCTCTGTTTCGGTGTTGAAGAGAATAGTGAATACTATTACTTTAATTTTCTACCACCTACCGGGTGAAAATCCGCCCCGTGATCAATCAGGTTATCTTCGTGAGCATGTTAGTAGAGGGTTGAGATGATGAGTTAGCACGCGTGTTGTTCGGAGGCAACTAAACTGACTTCGTGGACACAGCCTTACCAAACTCCTCCTAAACAAACCGCAACGACCCCGTTTGTTGGTCATGAAGAGTGATCGAATTTTGCTCACAGATCTTGACAACCGACGGGCAAAACTTCCGTTTCTGGGACTTAAGGGCCTCTGGCCGGAAGTGACTACAAATGGTCCCTGCATTGCGGTGGTAATAAACTGCAAGCATGACCATAGTTGCGGAAGTCAATTTTTTTAATTAATTGGTTCGTGAGTTGTCACAAGGCAAGTTTTCCGCCATAAGGTCATATTTTTTAGCCGAATGGCGTTTCTGATTTTCAGTGCCGATTAGATGGCAGATCTATTAGAAGACCCTAAATTCGATTCGATGATTTAATCTTCCCGGGTAGAAAATGCTCTGAGTCAAATGGCGAAACGTACGTTTTTTTAATTGACTGATGTTCCCCGAAATTTGAACTTACTCTTCACGTTGTGCTGATTGTCTGTGGACGGAATCCTTGTTCTGCTTTGCCATGCATTGTGATCGGATTACCTGATCAACCTGCGAAGACAAATATGAATAGGAATGATCAATGTGATCATAAACAGAGGACAAGGGAATATTGCAGAAATACATTCAGCATTTTGATAACTGATATAAACACATATATATGACAATATATAAATCCGCTAAACACTCGTACTAAGGTGGTAGAAATAGTGTTTGGTTAAGGATTGGCTGTTCTACTTATAGGATGAATACAAAGTTACTGTTGTTCGAAAACACTCGGCTTACTTTGAAGTGGCTAAAACCTTAAGCAAGCAAATAATCTTTTAAGAAGAACTAAGGAGTGTAGCGAAATTTCCCGATGATTCAAAGCAGTTCCTACTTAGCAATTAGGCCAAAGTGACCCTTTTGTTTACGGTTGTAACTCACATTTTTAGCATCCAGACTGCAAGTATGTGTTCAGACCGTCTGACTGAGTGTTGAATGTGCAAGCAGCTCATGCGTTTACTGTAGGCTAAGATTTGTATTTCTCTCCTGTTCATCTTTCCTTTCTTGTGATTTTTTTTCAGATAAGCTAACATGATTGTGTGTAACCAAACCAAAACTGCAACAGACAAATTTTCCGACATTTTACGCTTTGCGTTCCTACCTTCCATACCGGGATGATGAGGTTTGAGAAGTGTCTTGGACAGTGAAAAGTGGTTGGGAATGGTCGTGAAGACTTGAGCTTACTAACCTTTTGCTTGAAAAGATTTCCATCCATCTTACCAATGACATCCAGGATGATGAACACAGTACTGCATTACAGTACCTAAGCGCAGTACCTTTGGTCTACCACAGAATGACGGCTTGTTAATGACAGTTCACAGACCAATTCTTCAATGGTATGTTTGCTAATAACTCTGTCGTGCAAAAATACGCGTTACTTAGGTGATTCTATTCTAATACGTCATAACTTTTCCACGATTTACACAATAATCCTTGATAATGGTCTCATCGTTTCCGCATAAATAATCGTTCTACGATCCCCATCCAACTTTCTGGCTACTCTAAAATAAAAAGTTTCGCTCGATTTTCATTCGCACTTCTTGCCATATCAGAGTTTGGATTTCACTAGTGTGGTATGCAAATCAGACGATTTTCTCACTTGTTAAACGTGCCCAACTGTGAGTTTCCGTGCACTAGTTGCCTTGACAGATCATTCATCTATCCAACCTTCAGAAAAATCCACAGCTGCTTCTAGCATACAAAAAATGTTTAGTTACTCATGAGTAGGTTCGGAATCCGGTAAATTAGTAGTGCACTTAGTTTCTATCCAACCTTCAGAAAAATCCACAGCAGCTTCTAGCATACGAAAAATATTTAGTTACTCATGAGTAGGTTCAGAATCCGGTAAATTAGTAGTGCACTTAGTTTGGAACTACCGTGCACATGAATCCGGTGTTTTCTCAAGGTGGTTATTATTCGTATTCACTGATAGTGGATGTAAGTAGCACGTGATATTACTCTATTAATGGGTGGATTCTGACTATACATCTAACAAAATTATCATACCATGGTTTACTCGCGTTTTTTAAATAGGGCAACCAAAGTAGGTCTCACAGCGTTACTCTCAATAAGATTTCTCGAAAGGAGTTTTCGAAGAATTGATTAAAATTGAAATTGATCATTTTATGGAGGAAAAGTCATTTTTCGAGGAAAAACGAAATGCGCTCGCTGCATTTCTTTCTGCAAAGAGCCAGCATAAACATCTTCCAACTGCATATTCGGGGAAAAACGGAGATACTATTTGTCACAAAAGTTTTTTATGTGCTGTATGTCCTCCGGTACTACTGAGTAAAGGCAAAAACTTTAGGCTTGGGGTAATACCATGTCAGATTTGGCTGTCATTAGCATCAATAATGTTTTCGTCGTTGACCGAAACCGGTCTTTTTAACACACGTGGGTTAGTGTAAAGCAAACTAACGCAAGTCATGTGTTAGGTGATCAGCCCCTGGGTTATTCATTCTCTTTGGTGCCAAGTGCACTTACGCCCGCGCTTTTGATTACGACTTTGATGTGCAAACGAATTTTTAGTAAATTTGATTTGATATTCAAAGAGGCTTTTTGTTAAGGGACGTTCGGTAGATTTTGCATGAAAACACATATATCGAACAGGATTTTCAGTATTTGCGAAATTTGATGAGAAAATCCCTAAGGAAGTAAGGCTGTAAAAAGGAACGGGTGCTTTTTTAATGGAAACTAAAGAGCAAGGACATGCGAGACAGGTCGGCTACAAGGAGGTTTTCAAAGAAGGTGACAAAACAGCGTAAATGAGTCACATTGATTTTTTACTGTTTTTTTATAAATAGATGCAACAATATTTTTTGGGCGGCATGAGCACACAACTTTGTTGCAGCTACAAAAGCTGTCAGATTTCTTGATCAACAAAGACGTAAAAAGAAGCTATCGCTAAAAGACAGAGACACCTGCGAAATTATCCAATGTCTGAGGAACGAAAGATACTTAGAACCTTTGAATGGACATTTGGGGAGCACTAGTTCCAACTGTCCTTCTTCCAATGGAATGACACAATTGAACGACAACGGCAGCATGAGCCTTCGTTTGTTGAACTTCCGTGGGACAACCAGAGGGCCGAAGTGGTTCGGAAACCTCAGTCTGTACTACCAAGACGTGTTTGTACCAGACAAGTGAAATAATTTCATTCTACTTATCAGAGTATTCCAACTTAATCTCAATAAGCTGACGGAGGGAGGACAACTATTTCTTATCGACCATTAGGTGTCCACAACAACTACACGAACGAATTGGTGCATTTGAACGGTTAAAAATGAGGGCTTCCGAGAAAAATTCGAATTAAGCCTGCCCCGAGAATACTCCTTCTCTTTGGTAAAATTGTGTATTCTATTCGCTGCGGATAAAAAAAAATTATTTCGACTTACTGATGGCACTTTCCCATGCGTGTTTTTAAGTTGAAAACCCCATTATCCTCTCGAACTGGCACTTACAAGCCTGTAAACTTGTGGGTAGTGTTGAATTAATTAGGATTCGTTAACCGGCCTGGTGTTCCGGATGAATCAGTGTGTGGCATTGCATCCAGGTGTCGTGTGGGTGAGAACGACTAACCTCGATTCCAAATTGTCTAATGGACAACTGAATCTAGCAATCCAGCTTTTTTTACTGCAACCAAATTCACATTGCACATACAAAAGTACCAACCAAAGTTCATCCTCTGAAGGTATCGCTGTTGTAGAGTATAAAAAACAGTAAAATGAGTCATCATGTTAAGCTACTAATATTTCTCCAAAATATGCTTTTGAGTGGTACTTGTTTACTCAGTTGTGTTTCACTGAGCCAAGGCCAAGGAGAAAATTAAACGGCGAAGAATCTGTACTTGGAGCATTATGAGCATTAGGCAACATTTGCTGATAAACTGAACATAAAGAAACATGTGGAAATTTGTGTAGTGGTCTGACCGCGTAGATTTCCTGCACATGCCTGCTTAAACTGACAAGGCCTGTTTTCTAGGCACGTATACACAAATGTTTTACAGAAAAGCATTTTATTAAACACTCAGGCCATGCAAATGAGGGATGATCCTGCACGATATTACTGAGATACATGGTAAAACCTGTCCGCTAGCATGGATGTTTGGCATGAGCGATTCATTGTACTAATCCGTGGTTTGCTGAATAGATCTGCTAAATCCAAGACGTAGAAAGGTGTGTACCAACATTATTCAGGACACTTTGAAGTTTATAGAGTTGATATAAAACATTAAAAGTCAAAGACATTTCATCCCTTTTCCCTAATATTTTACCATGTATTCGAATTTATCAGTAGCCCTGATTTCCTTCACACCCTATTTCACTTGCTGAATTTAGACAGCTACTTTGACGATGAGCTGTTAACACTCACTTTTCATCCGATAGCACTCAGAAGATGGAATCTCAGTTACAGTAGCAAAGTTTCCTGAGACTTAGATCACACTTCACTCAACTCCACTGAGTTGAAGAAGCGAGAAAGCACGCTTCAATATTCATCCGATAGCACTCAGAAAATGGAGTCTCAGTTACAGTAGTAAAGTTTCCTGAGACTTAGATCGCACTTCACTCAACTCCATTGAGTTGAAGAAGCGAGAAAGCACGCTTCAGGCACTGGATGTTGTGTTGAAAAATATAAGACGGATTAATTAAGAGGGGCAAATAGTGGGAACCAAGCCAGTTCCCTGATTTTTGCAGTCTTGTGAAAGTAAGATCTAATTAAAAAAGAATACTTTGGAGGATGCCTAAAATATTTACCTTTGGCATTGTCACAACCAAGTGACCCGTCGTTTGTGAACGCTTTGCATATGATTTGTCCGGTTTTACCTCTTCTGGAAGTGCTAATTGTAGAATCTATGAAGAAAAACACAAATTAGTAAGAGAACCCGAGATATTTTGATTGAAAAACTTGAGGTAACTTAGGCTGTACTTATATGAGCTCCCGTAAGCAAACTCGTCTCCCATCACCAGAAAAGCCTACGGTCAATACAAGCAATAAGTTTGTTAATTGTAACTGCATTCTGACAAGGGGTAAAAAGGCTTAGGAATGGCTCAAAAGTCACACAGAGACGCGCCGACATACATACACATACGCCGACATACATACATAACGTCTCTGGATTTATTGAATGATGAAATCTAAGTTATCATAATCCAAAAGAGAACGTATTTATTAGGATTCTTTACAGGGAATGGTTATTCATAATAATAACGTGAATTCGACCAACCTAGAAGATGATGCAGCATAGTGTCATCGTATCGTTATGAACAGCATGGCGGTGCTTTAAAATAGTGCTTCGCTGCCGTACAACCATGATTTATTTGAAAGTCTTATTGAGAAGAAAAGAATAAAAGTCGAAGCGGAGGGGACCTAGCACCGGCTTGCTACAATAATCCCAATGTGCATACACTCGATTAATCTGGATAGAACCTCATAACAAGAACGTCAAGTGGTAAGTAATACTGAAAATAGAGACAGATTTGCTGGCATTCTGTTTAGTTATACCTCTCTGGAAACAAAATCCTCAGGTGTATACCACGGAACTGATACGGCGACACCGTTTTTCCAAAAACTAGAAGATGCAGACATCAGATTGCGAGTTAATTGTGCACGCTGCAAAATATGTCAGCAATGATTCCTGTCATCGTTTTAAATGCTATGCTTTGTCTCGACAGTTTTATTTGTATAGAACCATGTGCAAATAATTTTCCCAGATTGTGTGTGGAAAAATTACCCTGAATTAATTCACACATACTTTGCCTTTCATAGTGACCCTGACGTAGGTGGGCTGTACGTCACAATCAACCATTGAGGTATCCATGTGCCTGTGAAGATGAAAAAGTAAACAGTCGTGATAATTTTGGAAGCAGTTTTTGGGTCAGTAGAACTGAGCACACCAGAACGGACATAATATTTTATGGTTTGCCACAGTACAGCCTTTGCCATGTGATTTTTCACGTGTTTTCACAGTTCGGCTTAAGTAAGTTACTGTGCAGGCCTATTAAACCGTAGCTTCGCGACCGCTTCACTAAAGCTTAAGCTATGTTCCAGGAAGATTTAACCCCATATGAGAAAACACCAACGCATGTGCTACTGTAGTAACATAGAGACTAGAATTCTTTACGGCAAGGTCTTTTTAATTATAAATGTGCATAATTACTTGTTATTTTTCTTGTGAATTACTCAGCTGGGGCATAATATCAATATTTGCTTTACTCTACTATTTCATATTGACTTGAAGGCTTGAGGCTTGAGCAGGAAGTTTAAAAATGCTCAGAAAAACCTGAGAACAAAGTTAAGAAATGAACATGAAAAATGGCTTATTTGAACTGAAGCACGAAGGGGTTCTATGGAGCATGGTGTCAGACACCCAGACACATTTTGTTAGCAGAAAAAAGACGATTTATTTTGTATTTTTGCCTGTCATCTAAATCTAAATTCTTGATGCCAGATCTATCAGTCCCGTTCCGTTTTGTATCGGTAGAAGTCAAGGATCTTGTCCTACCTGGACGGTATCAATTTCTGGCCCACTGGGGATCCATGCTTAATATACCGACACGCACTATATATTTGTACATTGGGTAGAGATCTGACAATTCACATTTATAAATTCCCAAGTCAGAAGGAGATGGAGCAAATTTACAACATGACGGAGGGAAGCATTTGAATTTGGATTACAATAAATCTTTGAGTGTTTGGATAGCACGTATGATGAATGTACATATTTCTGGGCGCTGCAACCAAATTCAAAAACGTGCATTCCTAGAGCAGTCAGCTGACTGATCAGCCTTAAATCGAAAATTTGTGCCTACGACAGATGAAGTGGCAATCCACGTCTCCAGAATCCTCACCAGAGTAAGCTTTACCACACGTCCTTGGTCAAGATTCTGTTAACAAAAATGAGTGGTCTATGCACCCAGTTTTTCACGTAAGTTAATGTTGTTTTTCATAACAGGCTACCATGCGTAACTGCAGGGGTTGTCTGATTAGATACCACAGCGGAAAGTTAATCATTACGGTTTGCTACTATGTCCCATGCTACCGGACGGGAGCGCAGCCAGTCACGTTGACAGCACTCATAAAAAGAATAAATGTCCGGGTTATGTTCAGGATTGTTGTTTCTATAGTTTGCCAGAAGCATTTATTACAACCCAGTTCGAATCGCTTTTGACTTCATGCTCCGCTGACTAATACAAAGTCGGCCGAAAACTTCATCCCAGACTCTCATTTACGATTTTATTTGCCAGAGTGAGCTGCGCACTAGCTGTCTTAAGTTTAAATAGGGCTGACAATCAAAATATTAGAGCATCCTCGAGGAACGTGATGAAAACTCTTGGTTGCCTACTACGGGTCTCGTTCTTTTGGGGTTCATTACGTCAAGGCCGTCCCCAAAATGCGGCCGATCTCACTTTGCGCTTGATCATCATACATGCCTTCGCTCACCCCATGTCCAAAAACGTTGCGATACAGAAGAATAAAAGGAGGCCGGCTGAATCTAGTCACACTACCAGTAAAGTTTTCGTGGTATACAGAAACCAGTTGATGTCACAAATTTATTTATATCCTATCAGCCATATTTGCTATTTGCCTTTTGCAGTGGACTCCGGGTATTTTAGAATCGTAAATTTGCAGTGTTTGTCTCCGAATGGATGGAAAATCAAGTGTCACATCAGCTTAAAAGTAGGGAGCGGATTTTCTTGTTCCTTTGGAAACTTCACGTTGAAATCTGATTGCACTCCTCATCAGGTACTCGAGGCCGAATGGCGTATTAATCGCCTACAAACCAGGAAGTACCGGTTTAACACATCCTCAGATATCCAAAGACAAAAAAGCTGCATGGCGCCGTTCAGCTTCCCAGCAGTGATTTACTCAGTCATTTTAATCAGGTTCAGTCAGAAATCTGTTTTCCTCACTTGACAACTTTTCACAACACTCGTGCGACAGATACTTTCACTAAACCAGCAGTTTCAAAGCTGTCGTCGCTTAGAATCTCGCTTACAGCCATATGCACATGCATAAAATCTGGTGTCTGGTTTCATCAAATGTCGTCATTGAGGAACATATAGCTCAAAGTTAAAAGCTCTTAAGAGTTCAGTAGTGGTGCAAAATCTCTTAGCGGTAATCAGCTAGTGGCAGTTCCTGAGATTTTTTCTATCTTTTTATATTTTCTACTTGAACAGCAGAAAAGCTCATTTGAACATTAAGCTATATTACTGGGAGACCTAAGTGAATCCTTTTCCTCAAATGTCGTACCAACTCCATTTTGGAGTTGTCTTTTTGCAGCTTGTTCTGTTAGAAAATATCAAAAATAAAAGATTTAGCTGCAATTAAGTTGATTTCACGGTTAACACTAGTTTACTTTTCAATCGAGCATATTTCTCGAGTTCAATTTTATTAATCTGGAAGTGACTCCTTACAGTTCACCATAGACACCGTCGCCCAACGTTGTGTCCAAAATCTATTCAGAAGAGTTCGATTTGAATGCAATCCAAAGCCTCCTGTTAACAGAGAGGCAGCACAGACTATGCAATGTTCACAATTTTGTCTATTCAAGGAGTTAAACCGCAGTGAACATCATCAAACGTTGCTCATCGTTGGCTCGCATGCCTGCTATTATTCTGCTGTATACCGTAATGAAACCTCGATGGAAATTCGTCTGCTGATCTGGATTGCATTGAAAAATATCAGATTCGCGTACAGGAAAATTTCAGCCGAAAAGTTTGATCATTTGTCTTGCAATAAGATGTCGCTGGTTTTCCTTTCACAAGGTGTGTGCCGTTTAATCAAACGGGATAGAGAATAATCACGGTGCTCTCCACTGACATAGTTCGAAGTATTTTGGGGTCGAATGGGGTTTTGTCTGTGGCGTCTGTATCTTTATTCAGGTTTTCCTCATGTAGCTGGTGTCATTTTGGAGGTAGATAACACACGGATCAGTGAGATTGGAAAGGTTATATAGCTTCTCAAGAAGATGTTATACAAACTTCTTGACAAAAGAAGGTTTGCGTGACTTTGATTGCAATTGGTTCTAGATTTTGTCTGCAGAGAGATGTCATTTATGTCCATGCTTTCTATTCAGATTTTCCAAATAAGTTTTCGGCAGTAGACTGTAGGCTGAAGCTACGCCCCTTTCCGTCTAGTTTTCTTCTTTTTCATTTTGGTGCTTTTCCGACAAGGTATCCATATCTTCGTGCTGATGACACATCAGCGTCAACAGTGGGGTTGCTTATTTAGGGCCTACTAAACGAGTTGTTATTTTCTATCCTGTGATCCTGGATGACGAAGATCATGGTGTTATGTTCACTGATAATGAATAATAGTCAAGTCTAAACAGGTCTTCACGGGCAGACTTTGGATGGGCTCTTTATCCTCATAACGCAAGTTTATACTGCATGACATGTTCCTTCTTCATTCTCAGGAAGATTATCTTGTGTTTATGATTCGGTTTATGTCTCAAAACCATGTATTAGCAGGAAGTGTTTGGTCTGTCCCACGGCAAGTGCCAAAGCATTTTGCTTGAGGTAAAAGGTAATCTTCTCTGAATTTGACTGCAAAACCTGGCCGTTATAAACCGAAACCGTGATCCTCTCCAAATCTACGAATAACGTAGCTGTTGAAGAGTTACAGGAAATTAAGACGAATTAGGGTATACCCAGGCCTTGGGTGGTGGGTAAAATTACACAGCGAGCAGTAACTGGTATCAAGTTAGACTGAGGGGAATCTGTGGACTATGAATTCATTTCCACCAACTGCCGCAGGGCCCTTCTTTTCCCAATGTTCCTTCTGCTTGGTTAACTTTTTGTGGCAACTGAAACGTGAGTTCGCATTGTAGTTTGCGATGAGTCTTTCGGATTTAATTGGTACATCTGATTAAGCAATAATTCCAACATCCTTTAGCTTGACAAACTGTCTAAGTTTTCCGTCACCTGTATGCTGTACTTTTTGCTGAGATTGCAAGTAATTCAAAGCTGCCAGTATCCATTCACTGTCGTTTAGCTTTGGAATGGTGTCTATATAATAGAACTTTCACTTTTTTCCTAAGGTTGAATGATCTTTCCCGCTGATCATTCCTTCTAGGGTCATGCACCGCTACGACCGGTTCCATCATGCCAAGTCTGTCCTATAATTTATTAGTGTAAAATTTTGTGCTTCGGTACGTGACATCTAAGTAGTACTGTTCGGTGATAACTTCATCATGGTATCGTGAGGAAAACAAGCATTGACAGGCCGACGAGAAAAACGAGTAAAAACCGAGTTTAACGGTTAAAAGCTATCGCTTTCGAAAGACTGAATAAAGATGTGGAACCACAACGAAAACGGACAAAAATAGACTTGTCCAAAACAACACGTTAGATAATAAAGCTAGTGAGATTTTTCGAGGGCTAGACGGCTTAGTGGTTAGGGTGCAAACTTACTGACCGGAAGGTCCATGGTTCGAAACCGATTTCTGACTTACGACTTCCTTTATCTAGGCTTGGGCAACCCTGCAGTACCCAGTCCTCATGCTTCCTTCTGGTGGCATGGCAGTTAGGCTTAATGATATGTAAAAGCCTTGTTAAAGTCTTGAAAGATTTACAAATACATAAAACTTTAACAACGTACCGGTATACAGAAACGTCCAGCAAGAACGAGTCTTCATTGTCTACTTTTTGTTCGGTCAGACTAAAGTTCACTCTGGAAAAGAGAGTTTGGAATCCAGTGTTTCACACTTTTTGGCTGTTATCTTTTGTGACTTAAAGTGAACAATCAGTTTTCCCAGATTAGATCAATTCAGATCAGTTCGAAATGAGGCCAGCACTCTATAAAAATAAGGTTTTATTCTTCCTGTACAGAGGCTGCCTTGAAAAACGGTTGACATAACACAGCCCTAGATACATAAAATTCTTGGCGGTATCTTGATATGAGTAGCTGGAAATGTAGATAAAATGTTTTATTTTGGAATGATACAAACTCAACTTAATGAATATGTGACTGAACAATACAAAGTTACAAAAATGCAGTGAATCAGAATGCTCGTTGCACTTACTTTGGTTCATTGATGTTAAAAGGCCTCCCACTATCTGAGAACAAACGTACTGGTTTGCGCTTAGACGTATCCTTCCTGCAAGGCAATTCACATCGATTTTTATGAGATTTGCATTCGATAATCAAATTTTGTTCATCCATAAGCACGCCGTTTTCCAAGAACTGAGTAAAGGAATTTCCAAAATTGCTTACCACGGAAATTTTTCTGTGTATTCCGAGGGAGTAAATATTTCGTCATATAAAACGTGTGAACGAGTAGAGATGCCGTGTGCATAATATTAATCTGACTTAAACGCAAACATCATCAGGTTTAGCATTTTGACTTCTGATTGATTAAGAAGAACCCTGAGCCATAAGTCAGCACTTTTGCCTGGTATTATCACATGACTTGTCAGTCGAAGTAGACTTAGATGTCCGGTGTGAATGGGCACATAGAGGATCACAGTCCTTCAATGGCCCAGTTGTTGGTAGTAGGTGAACTGAGTTGGTGGGGTTTAAATTGATTCCCTGTGTCGTGGTTACAAAGTGAAGAATTCCCATGTCTCTGGTTTTTGTATTGTTGACGCAGACGTACATATCCGGTGAACCATTCTGTTTGATAACTTGATAAACAAATAAAGATTGTTTGACCTACTGACGTCAGAGGCGATCAGATTTTTTGTTTACTTTTTGCAGTGGCTGGGTAAAGTGAGAATGTGAGTTGATTAAAACTTCTCAGGAGAGTACATTGTCGCCATTAAAGGGGACGGAGGACATTGAACTGAATGCGAGTTAATCACTTGCTGGTCAGCCCATCCTGGCCGGGAACGATATGTTCACATGATAATTAAACGTCCTATCTGAAAAGCTAATACTCCAGGAGCCAGTCACTAGTTGATCACGTTGTGTTTCCTGAGATAGTAGAATGAGAGGCACCGTATCTTGTCTAAGTGAGTGCTGATTACACAACTGTCCATCCAATCATCGTCAAACGTTTGTGTTCACCCACTGGCCAAAAGGTCACGAGTTCAAAGTTTGAGTTTTATCAGGTACGCACTGCTGATTCTAAGTAGAGATAAAATAGATTTACATTGCTTCTCGGTTTTTTAGCATGGATTAACTCTATCGACAGGAGATCTCTATAAAACTTACTAAATATCCTCACACTGTCATTAGAACAATAGAAAAGTAAATCGTTCAGCTGTAACACCTTTCCGGTGCCTAGCTGCCATGCCACCCAAAGGAAGCACGATGGCTGGGATATTGCAAGGTTGCTCAAGCCTAGACAGGGGAAGTAGAGAAGCAGAGGTCAGGTTCGAAGCACGGAACTTCCGAATAGTAGAATTTCAGGTATATGCTCGTAAGGCAATAATTCTTTTTAAATTCGATTCGGGTTCCCTGCAGAACGCTAGAAGAACAATGAACCTGCTGATATCCGGTTCTGTGGGACATTGCTTGCTTCAAAAATATCCAGTACAATCTAACCAGTCTGATGTTTTGTTCATCGACATGGCAAAACATCCTATAAAAATCACTGAAATTTTTAACGAGGAAGCAGAATATTTCGCTTTTCAAGGTACGAACTCCAGTTTTGAGGAGTGTTGATGGGTTGTTCAACTTTCAACGCTTCATTTCATGATTCCTTAGAGGTAAATTTACAGGGAAACCCACCAGCAGTGCCCTTCGCCCTAATTAGGAATCCCAAGAGACACATCTGGCACATTGTGCTCTTGAATGTTTCACACCTTGTTTACTATTTACCTAGATTGAATCCTAAAACACTAATTTAAGTATGAGGATGGCATAGTTAACCCGAATTATGAGGTTGTTGTAGAGCCCGCCAAATTGTGTCTGGGCTATCTTTAATAATTATCTGAACTGCTTCCATCATCAACTGATGGGAAAACTAGCTATTTGCGCATTGGAGGCGGGAGCTGATAAATTAGTGCGTAAATACAGCATTGTCAGTGGATTGTTCAGTGAGGGAATTGGAAAGGAAGATGTTCATTGAAGGCGATAGCTGTGATGCAGAAGAGTCACTGACTGCGCGATTGGGCCATTTCTGTCAATGTAACTAACAAATGGTGGTTTAATCCCGGGGTCCCCATCCAGGGAAGAGGCAATTGCCAACCCAACTGAGTTTATTAGTTAGTGTTTTCGTACTTTGTTTCCAGATCATACACGGTCCACCTCTCGCTTGTTTCCACTCAGGGCTGAGCGGAAAGGGCTCTTCGAGGCAGGAGGTCATCTGGCATGCGGAGTGCATGTTACTGTACGTTTTACAGAATAGTGTTCCATGCAATGACCCAGTATTTTTCACGGTTGAGTGCATTCGAGGAAGAAATCATCATAGAAAACCAGCTAACGAAATCAATATATGCAAAATTTGGTACGCTTGATAACCTAATATTTGATGAGATGTAGTGCTGCTTTTTACTGGTTTGAGTGCATGAATGTGGTTTTGCAAATAAACCTAGGTAATCCACCTATGATTTCAAGCATCAAAATGATCCATTGTAATATGATAGACAAAACAGTGGATGTTATCGTTAGCATAAGAATAGAAAAACATATCTGGGTGAATGATGTGTCACTTATGAACGTACTTGTTGTCACCGGTTTTCTTGCTCTTTGCCTTTTCCTGTAGTTGTGTGTATTCATGGGTCTCTATGCGTGATTCTGGTGTAAAAGGAACTTTTTCTTGCCAAAATTCGTTGACCACCGGATCAATATCTCTGCATGAGATTATAGAGAAATTGGAATTGTTTGAATCATAAAGTGCGCTAATAGCATTAAATTTAGGTTGGATGATTGGTGACTTGCAAAGAGTGTGAGGCTACAATATCACTTGCAAAAACTGAATTGAAAAATAGCCTAACATAATATCGGGCCAAGTGTCTCACGTTCCTCAAGAACATTACCGAAGAATCTGAGGGTAGTGTTTCAGAGAAAACTTGCATAGTCGGTGTTTTATACGTTCAGAAGTTCGTTTACTTACCCACTACATGCTGCCAACCTTTCTTCATGAGCTTGTCGTCTTTCCGTGGCTGCAGCTTTCTCTTTTTCCTAAACAAATAAAAATCATAAATTGGTCAATACACGCTTCTCACACCCTTTTCCCTCGATATTCTTTTTCGCAGTTCACAATAGTGGGACGGATTTGTTCCAAAACTTGTAGTGCCAAAATTCTTTCTGATTTCGTGATGTCTGATCCATCCAGTTTCTTTACGCGCGAAGTTTAGCTGAACTACTGTATTAATGAGCTCGTTACCTGAAGCTGTGGGAGCGTAGCAATGACAAATTCTCGGTAGTGTGGGTAGTCGGCACATGGGTTCCCAGTAAGATAACTGATGTAATTAATGGTTTAAAACCAATTTAGCTTAAGGACATACAGTTCCTCAAGTGAATACAGTTCAACCAAAGACGAAATACTGCTCAAATCCCCAATAAAGTTGACGGTCAGGTCAAGCTTCTTAAGGGATTCACATCCTGAACAAGTTGCTTACAAATCACGCAAAATACTACCTTCTAGATTTTCGACCTTTTCAATATTGTTCAAAGCCAGGTTCAAGTATTCCAACTTCTTCAGTTTGGCAACATTCTCTGATTCCAATGAAACAGATGAAACAAGCAACACTCACCGATCCTTGGAATCAAGTTGTTTTGAAGATACAAAATTTTTAGATCGCGACACCATCGATCCAAGTGTTCAATCCTATGGTAGTGGTAAACACCTCAATAGTACACACTGAGGTACCTTTCAAGATTCTGTTGATGCAGTGAAAGTTCCTCCAAAGAAAATATTTCGCCCTCGTTATGCTCAGCTCGTTTACGTATAAGTTCTTCTGTTACTAAACATAGGTAGATAATATAGTATCCTCAACAACTTACTCCGGACCATTTAGTGAGGATTCACGATAGCTATTTCATTGAGTCTTGGAAAATCAGGTAAGAGCTAGAAAAGGAAGGAAAAGAACCTGAGAACTGTTGATAGTTGATACTATTTTGAGGTTAAAACAAATCTACAAAATGGAAAACTAGGACTGATAATAGGCTGATAGACTGATAAATATACTCTATCTCATTCTTTGGTAGCTCTTACAAATAAGCGTGGCTTGCACGCGATTAAAACATGGTACTCATTTTCTATGGAGAAAAGTGTCGCTATCCCAAATAGTGTAGATGGTCGTTGACTAGTGGTTGCGCACAACCACTAACCCACCGCTACGCACCACTACGCTCCATAATAACGCACTGATGATGTCACCTCAATTGGTGATGAAACGTTTGCAATCTAATTGCCCAGCTCAGCGAACAATCCAACGACCATGGTACTCATTTTGATTAAAGACAGTTTGAGAATGACGACGCAAGTGGTTCTAGCCGGTAACTAGTAGTCTCCCTTTAAAAAGTGCCTTTAATCGGTCACACTAGTTGATCTTCGCACACCTGCCCAAGGTCCAGACAAAAGTTTAGGGGATAAATGAAGCTGGTTGGGTGATGTTATGGCTTGCTTTTGAAATCCAACGAAAGAATGGACATCCTAGTGTCCACGAAGATCCTAACCACGCTAAATTTTAGATCAGCTCCGTTTTGGAGATACTGCCTAACAAGCACCATACAGAGAGGCTTGTGTAAGCTCTCGTGCGTGATTCCACAACAAACATTCCCGGTTCCGAAAATAACACACGGATGAGGTAAGTTCCCATCATGCTTAAACAGCATTGGAAAATGAATGATAGACTGTCAATGATTATTTTTAGCTGCATGTTGAAAGATTGGCTAACTTACGTCATAAACAAAAGGTCACTATAAGTTGAATCATCTTACGGACAAGTATAGGTTGACTTTTGACCATTTTGTATTCCATAGTGCCCCCACCTAAGACGTAGGATGACTACCCCCCTAAGGATACTACGGCCATTTAGGAGAAGTATCTCGAAAAACATTACATTACTCTTGATAGGGGTGCTTTACATAAAGTGGAGGTTCACTTTGTGTAGAAATGGCCAAATTAGGAATCCCACTGATAGTAAACATGCCGATTTCTGGTTGAGCGTCATGATTCCGATTTTTGAAAAAACGAAGTTCTATCTGTACTCTCTGAAAGTGCTACTTGGAACAAAACTCCAAATGATAGTCCTTACTCGTAAGAGTTTATCGAGATAGGAGAAGCCTCAATGCTGAAACTGTCCAAAGTTGCCCAAGGCTCACACAGTAGCACTAAAAATTTCGCAGGTTTAACTTGTGGCATATCTAATTAACAATCTTTTTTCTAATCCCACCTCATCTCGTGAAGCTGTAATGGGATTTCATCATTTCAGCGCCCCACTCTGTTTCAGATTACAGGTTATTTACTTCTGCCGTCTCAGGCAAAGTTGTGTCAAATTCTTCCGCAACACTTAATAATTACTGATTGCTCTTATCGCTCTATCTGTTACTGAAGGAACACCCTACCCAGGGACTATACAGAATGGGAGTTTAACAATGCATCCACTTCATCTGCCGGTTGAACCGCTCCCTGTGTCTGACGATCTTGTTTCAAAATTATCGTCACCAATTTAGGTGAACTTCTCGGTGCGTTTTTGGACAGCTTCGTATTTCAGGCTAGCGGTATGTTGTTGCGATGACTCACGCAAAACAAACCCATCTGAAGGGTGATCTCTTGGTGGTTAAATTGGCTCTGAAAGTAGGTATCCTAAAAAGCGTCATGTTTTCTCTTGAGAACAGCGGACAAATCAGCCTCCAGTACGTGCTCGGGTAAGTAATTCAGAGGACAAAGTATTTTATGGGCGAGCTAATTAAAATACGACGTGCGCACTTGCTCCCCTGCTCATTCTTCTCTTTAGACTTATTTTACTATTGTTTTAGTTTACGAGAACTAAAAAGTTCTTCTTTGAGTCTCTCTAACAGTGGTCGCAAATGCATCGCACTTTATACGCTGCTGTTTTGATTGAATCATTTTTTAAGAAAGTAAATAGGAATGACGAGAAGTAACCTCAGATTACCTTAGAACAATAGCTGGTGAATAAATGTCTCGAGTATCCAAAGACGGTGAGCGCAGAAAATATTTCTCTGAATGGTCTCAATAAATGGAACGATTGTGATATTTCTGCGTAGATGAAAACTGCAAAAAAGACTGTATGTACTGGGCAGATAGCCCGCATTTTAATGCACGACCCGCTTTAACCATCAAGTAAAAAAAACGAAGAACGGCTGCCTTAACATTTTGAAACAGTAGTAAACCACTAAGTCTCCCAAATGTTATACGCATACAAGCGAAAAAATCGAGAAAGAATAGATCAGAAACAAGGGTAGAAGAAACAAAACATTGATTTATCCCCATTGATTGGAAACCCGATATCTAGAGACTGGATAGGAGAGTCCAGTGGCTGAAGATCAGGAAGACTTGTGCCAGGTTCCAAAAAGCACATGATTAGACAAGGAGAGATACGAAAAACATCGAATGCCGAACTAAAGGACAGACAAAAAAAGAAAGGTGGATAAAACTCTTTGAACAAAGGGAGAAAAGCAGTGAAAGTCAAGGAAAGCCTAAATTACTGGAAATCATCTACATGACCACAATTTGGGACATTCGAAAAAGCCAACACATATTGTTATAAAAACTGGCGGAATCACGAGCAGGATGCAAGACTGTAAGACGTGAGACGGGGGTATATTGAAAAAATTACCAAATTGGTTTCAAGAAAAGGTGAATTCTACTCGCATCGTTTGATTTGGCGGCCAGAATTGCGGTGCAGCATCATATTGATGGTCTTCTATCGAGAAGGAAAAAGCTTTGCCACAATATGGGCGAAGGATTTACAAATACTCAAAACAGGCTTCGCACATGGGTATCTTCATTGAAGAGAGGTAGTGTGTAAAGAAGAAAGGTTTGCACAGAAGAGCGCTTGGCGAGCGCAAAAATGCAAAAGCAAACCTACAGAACCTGCCGCGTATGACAAATTTTAGAACATTTTGACGTTCATGAAAAAGGGAAGCAAATGCATAAAGCTTAATAATTTAACTGAACAACAGCCAAACGCCTCATTGTCATCATCATCATCAACGACAGCATGACATCAGTGCTCAACACCAATGCTTCACTGCCGTACAGCCATGACTTATTTGAAAGCCTTATTGTAAAGAAAAGAACAAAGGTGGATGGGGGGGGACTTAGTGCTAGCTTAACACAATCATTCCGAGGTGCCTACACCTCCAGACATTCATTCACGCAATCTGGACAGAAACTGACAACAAGAACGCCACTGACATCGGTTGGCAGCCATATCTTGTAGTGTCTCCAACCAGGCACAGTGAGGATCACGCGGTCCCCATCCTGGAAGGCGAGTAGCACCGACAGCACCCAAGCGTTTCATGATCTACTTCATACTCCTCTGCCAAGTCAGGAGTTGGTCACCTCTCTGTTTACGCCACTCCGGATTGGGCATGGAAAACAGTACTCTTGTAAGGGGCGTGTTCAGTGACTGTACGTCCACAAGCATGACCTTACACTTTGTGGGTGCAAAATGCATACCAAAGGACGGGATGATTTTGGTCAGTTCATCCAAGAATACTTGCGCCTTGCCTCATTGTACAATCCCATAATGATCAAACATTAATGATCCAACGAACCGCTGTTACCGTTAAATAAAGGTAAACAGTTGGGTGATGAGAGTTTATAACGGTGAACCTTTTTTATTAGGAAATTTTCTAGGACCAGAAAATAGGAAAAATGAGGAAGATGAAAAGAAAAATTGAGATACGTACAGATCTACTGATGATACGCTGATGAAACCTCAGAGACTAGATGAAATGGGAGCATTGTGGTTCAAATACTATACCTCCAAGTTCCAAAATGGTGATGAATAGGTGGCAGACAATTTTGGTACTCCCAAAATAGGAAGCAGTGAAAAAGCTAAGCGCGCCATAAGCAAATCGAGTCTGGTGAGTCAGATGGCGTTACTGATAATGGCCATGGAGCTGTAAGAAAAATCCATCATTGCATAGAACCAGAGCAGTTTTCACACCTCATCAGCAAATGTTCACCAAGAACTATCATTAGACAAAGGAAGAGTGGGATAAATAGGTAGGCTAGATGGCTGGAAAAATGTATGTGAACTTTGTAAGGCGCTTTGTAAGGTTAAAACGTCAATTCGTCCGATAGTGCAAATTCCACCTTTATATGCTACTTGGATTACCGACTTTATTCGAGATAGCCAAATTACTAGAAGAGTGGATAAACTGCTATCCTTACGTCCTAGTGCAAATAAAGGGAAGAAGCAATGGTCTGTCATGCGGTGCAGACTGTGTGTAGTATGACGTCTAACCAAACAAGCTTGCTAAAAACGGTAAACTCTCTGATTTTTCTGCCAAATATGGATACGGAACACGGTTAATAATTAAAACGCCGACTGAAGATTGCAGAAAGACTTCGTTAGTGGTTAACTGATTTACACCACCAGTAAACAGGGCCATGTTTCAACGCCACCAGGTGTTCCATGGGAAGGCCAGAAAACATAAGGGAGTTACTTTGTCTCAGTAAATTTAGTTCAGTATCCTATAGACTACGAATGACATTTCACGGGCTGTTAGCGTAGACTGAGACCCTTCTGACGTTTATTCCCATACTAGAAGAATGGCTTTTGCCACGGTTAGTATCCTTGTGTAAATACCACTGCTAGATGAAGAAGACCATCCGAAATTTCTGAGCACAAAAAGAGAAAAACTCAAACAAATGAGTTATATGGCGACATATATACCAGCATAGATGCCCTTGTGCCAGAATACAAAGGTTTTGTATGGTTAAGAACCAACAGTCTCTACTACCGTCGTTTAACCCACAATAGAACGACAAACACAGGAAACAAATATAAGCTTTGAAAACTCTTGGCAATCATTTCTTGGGACCCAAGGATGGCAAAAAGATGGAACAATTGACACAGCGATATCGCTAAGGTTTCGTGAGTTCTGTGAGAAGCATTAGACAAGAGGTTGTTCAATGCCCACAGCATGGCTTTATATCATGGTGATGACTACTGGCATGCTTTTTTGATCACCCACTCAACGTAAGACGGCTAGCTGTGGTGTCATTCTTGGGCAGGTCAGACAAAGACTGAAAACTTTCTGTTTTTTACCAGTAAAGGAATCGTGACTGGATTTGGCAAGAGTTTAATTTATAAACCTCAATAATGGTGCCTTAAAGGCGTCAGAGATTTCAAATATGTTGCTGGGTGTTTCAGTCTCTCGAAATTGGTTTGGTTAATTCATTTCCCAAAGTGATGGTCATCTTAGGGCAGTCTCTAAGTAAGTTGATCATGACGATACATAATGTCCCCGATATGGCTACTGAAGGACAGAGTATAACAAACCACTTGTTACTGACAGCCCTTTGTAAGCACAAAAGATGTTTGCCCTCATGGTGGGCTACAGTTGCACGCTGTGCCATAAGGGTTGTGGCGCCTGTCCTGCGAAAAAAAAATTTCGCCTGTACTTTTTGTATCGTGCATGCATTAGTTTTGAGGGTAAGTCCTAACATAAGATAAGTAAATATAACTGAGCACTCCGACGGATTTCTTGAGAATTCTTCTAACCTTGGACAACCGCCAACTCGGATAATGCAAGATAGGGTTAGAGTGAATAAAATATGGAGTGGCGTAGTGCAACCCAATCAGATTGGACCGTTTTGGTACACTCATGACGACGTTATATGCTGTGTTTATTATCTCCAAAAGTTGCATTTGTCTTTATCTTTGCGAGTTACATACACATTTCTTCTGATGCCACAGTATTCTCTGCCACCGTCCAAAAACTGTGGCTCACCCTGCAACGCGCAATGCATTTCACGTAGATGTTATCCTCAGCACTACGTAGATTGTTTAGACTAAGCCTTTTATTACAAATCCTTCGGAAAAATGGGCCAGCCTTCCAGGGTTCATGTCAGTATATTGTGTCCGAGTTTGTAACACTATCCCCAAAAAGCACAAAAGCAAAACAATCTTCATACAGTTAACACAGCAATGTCAATGTGAATGACTAACATGTTTGACATTTCGTCTTTTGCTTCTATAAAATGATCACTGCGAAACCGGTTACATTGATCTTTTTAGCTTGTGGTTGAAAATTACCGAGTTGATCCTATCCCAATAGCTGGATTCTGAGCCATTTGCATCATCATCATCATCATCATCATCACAACACCAATGCTTCACTGCCGTACAGCCATGACTTATTTGAAAGCCTTATTGTAAAGAAAAGAATAAAGGTGGATGGGGGAGGGACTTGGTGCTAGCTTAACACAATCATTCCGAGGTGCCTACACCTCCAGACATTCACTCAGGCAATCTGGACAGAAACTGACAACAAGAACGCCACTGACATCGGTTGGCAGCCATATCTTGTAGTGTCTCCAACCAGGCACAGTGAAAAAACTTGCAAGTCAGGAAGTATCAGTTGGTAAAATAAAAATTCTTCTAAGTTTGCGGAGAAACATTAATGTGTAAACGATTCACCACCGCTTCACTGCCTCTGGCACAGATTTACTGAACAAACCTCAATGGCCCCCGTAGCCTACCGCTAACGAACCATCAGCCGACGAACGTTCGAGACGAATATGAGTTTCTATGCAGGTCTCGAAATTTTGTAAGGATTCTCTAAGTGTTATACTTATTCCTGAATTTAATCAAAGTTCTTCCAAGTCACATAAAATTGTACTGCGATGTTTGACTGAATGAGTTGATTAGCTCCATAAAATCATTAAAAACAAAAAAGGCTATCAAACCTTGGATACAAGAATTTTGTCTCCTCTATATCCGTTCCGAAACAATATATGCAGTCTTCCTCTATAGTACGTGCGTGTTGTGTAAATACTGTAAGACAGGACCCCTTGCCTAGTTATCAAATGTGCAAAGCTGCGAAGTACATCTTAAAATGGGCCAGTTTAGAGCACCTTTCTATATAAAACAGCTTAATATGCCCGGCGCAACAGGGATGCCTATTAGAACGTTTTTGCGTGGCAAAGATGCTCGTATTCATGAAGATCTTAACCCAAGCCAAAGACGAAGGATCTATGATGGCGCCAAATTTGTTGATTGCCAAAATGCATTTAGTCGCGTCACCCACATTGCACTGCTCAGAAAATAGTCCTAAAGGTTTCAAGTTGAAATGCTATGCCAGAATGAGACCATTCTAACAAGCAAGACATTCTGAGTGAAATTTAGCTTAACCTACTCTTCTTCTGTAACGGTCCCCGTTGAATTTCCTCAAGATTGTCATTGGAGGTTCTCAGTATCCCATCATACGACAACCCTCTTTTGCTGTCCACGTTGAGTAGTCCTCAGATTGGCTTTCACTTTCATGCTTATGTTTCATGGTCAACCAGTAATTTTTAAGTTTCAACACCTTTGTCTTTCTAATGGATTCTGACGCCGAAAAGCACTAGATAGGCACCTTTCTGCGAGTGGCCTCCCGGCGAAGCCTCGGTGGCCGCCTTTGTCGTGCAAAGCGAGACAAGCCATCAGGAGGATAGATACCGAAATGATTTGTGTATCTGGCTCTCTTCAAAAGTCTCCTTTGAACTCGACCATGAATGATTGGCCCGGAAGACGTTTGTCCCTCTCCAGATGATATGCCCTACATCCCTCCGCTATATACTTAACGGGGTACATGTAGGCTACTTCTTAAACACCCCAACAAGGACGCAATAAATACGCAACTTTCATGGAGCATATCCAGCAAGCTGCTACGAACATGGTTACTGGTTTTGAATCCATTGGCTGTGGAACGCGCCTAGAGATGCCTAAACTCTTTCCTCTAGACTGTCGTGGCCTTCAAGGGGACACAATAATTCCTTACACCTTAGTTGAACAAGATTTTCTGGGAGGATTTTTCAATGACCACTCAAACGATACACGCCAAGTTCATGGGAGAGCACTTTCATTGAACAATACTTTTTCTCATTTCCGAAAATTGGTGCGTAGAACAACCTTCTTCGGACAGTCACTCACCCTGCTTATAGAACTTTGGTTGGCTACTTTTAAGAGTCCCATCCTTGGCGAACTTACTGTACAGCACCGAAAAATCTAAGAGTGATGCGATACCCCCTTTGCTGTGGTGTCTTCCAGGCAAACGAAAGCAGCCGACTGACAAGAAAAAATCCGACCATTCAAACCTAAGTAAAAAAATTCAGTGTGAGGTTCTGTGAGTCCACAATTTCTGTGGGTAGTAAACAAAGATCCTCTATAGCAATTTATTATTTTTTAGGGTTATACATAGTACCAGCATTAACGAAGGTTATTACCAAAACCTCATGAAATAATTGTCGTTCTAAACGTATCGACACAATAAACGCTTGACTTACGACTGTATGATTGCATATAACAGATGAATGGCGCTTTAGGTTTCATTGCCTTGTGTCGACATCGTCGGCGTCGATTTTATGTAGAAACCATGTAAGTTGGTGGATATTGCATGACAAAACCCCCACACCTTAGGTAAATAAGGAGTGTGACTGTTGCAGTGCACAAAAACCAGCAAAATGTTGCATTTTCCATCAACATCATACAAATCCTTTATTGAACTCCTAGCAGTTAACAAAAATATAAAGCCAAAAGGCTGTGGTAATGGTGATATAATACAAACAAGTCAACCAAAACAACGGACATAGTTTACTACAGAATGAATGGTGTATCGGTCCAGGAGAAAATAAGCTAATCCGTCAATACATTCGATTGAGGCGGTTACCTACACCCAAACTAGGACTTAAGAAAAAGCTTTGAAAGTGACTTTGACATCAGGTCCAAGAATAAAAATAGATTTCGTAAATGAAGTTTACATTTTCGAAAAGCTGCTTCGGCTCCGAACGTTTTTAGAGCAACCTTGGTACAGTAAAACAATAGGTGCGAATCTCACTTAGGTCACATACGTGCAAGAGGTCCGAGGCCCAAACATGCCAGTCCGAAAGCAACAGAAAGTGATATACGTTTTGAGGTGTGTAGCTAACGGCATTGGGACTTGCTTTATCTCGCCACTGGTAGCGTTGGGTTTATAGGCTCCTTGTTCATTTTCAGATTCAGTTTGGTGGTTGCGAAAGTGTCGGTGGTCTAACTCAGTCTTATCCTGCGTCGCCGTGTGGTCAGGTATCAGCTATTCTGTGGCAGTGCCAGGGAACCCCGAATGAACTTGTCCCGGCACAGGCCGTTCCGGGTCTTGGAAGTGCACCAAAGACCCTCACTTGTTACTGTAGCAATATTGTCAAGGGGCCATCACAAATATTTGCCTCCTTGAAAGATGAGTGGAACAACCTAGGGGTTCCAAGCTGGCCTTTTCATGGTCTCTGGTTCTAGTCTGGTCAGGCTGCGATTGCGCTCTTTCGGATGCGAGAACGGAAGAACCATACCGAAATACCATAATATTAGGAATATTGTCAAGGGGCCATCACAAATATTTGCCTCCTTGAAAGATGAGTGGAACAACCTAGGGGTTCCAAGCTGGCCTTTTCATGGTCTCTGGTTCTAGTCTGGTCAGGCTGCGATTGCGCTCTTTCGGATGCGGGAACAAAAGAACCATACCGAAGTACCATAATATTAGGAAATAAGCATGTCAAGCTCAAGGAGGAATTCAATCCTGCTGAGATCTTCTCTTCCCGAAGTAGTACTCGGGGCTGGTCTTTGGACACGTCCCAGCAGCACGTTCTTGCCCTTAGTTCAGAGGACCCAAACCGGTGCTCCGTAAGCTAGTCGGATGCATGTCCCCGGGGCTCTACTCAGTTATAGTGGTCCACAAGAAGTCCAAAGCTAAGGCCTTACTACCATTTGGCAACCTGTATCTGGATTCATATCAGTGCTTACTTCCTTGTTGAAACTCATGCGTGAATATTCCCAGTACGAAAACCTCGGGCTTCCTCTCGATCTCTAAGGGATCTGTCCGCAGACAGACGCTGTAACCCAACGTGGTTTATCAGTATATTGCACTTCGTTGCTCATTCTCCCGTGCCATCTGAGGTATCTTAAAGCATTAACGTCTTCTTCCGCTGGGATATGACGCTTCATTTTTGAAAAATCCGCTACAGCATATAAAGTTTGCTCCTGCTTTTGAGATAGCCGGTGCATATCCGTCAAACTCGGTTGACCTAGTAACGAGAACTGAGACACTCAATATTTTGCTGGTTGGAGTCCAGAAAACCTCCCATTCATGTTGCGCGTGTGGTGGCGGCCTTGTGTCAAGACGGCTGTTCGGTATATCAGGAGCAGATTCAAGTATTTAGTGTATGTCTATATTTTCTGTTGGTTAGTTAGTTGTCAGTTGTCGTCATGTCACAAGGCTACTCATGTCTCCCACTGGACAGACATGTACCAAGTTGACCGGTGAATGGGCCGGTTTCCTTGCCACCTGCACGAGAAGGATAAAAAGGATCTGTTTATCCAGTTATTAATTCCAACCAATATTATGAGCTCTTCGTAACAGAACTCTTTGGGATGTCGGTTGATTGGATGTGGTGCTAAATCCAGACGGTGTTGCAGATTTGCAGATACCAATGGAAGGTACACACGCATGCGGATATTTCCGCGTCCTCGTTACTCAATATAGAGAGGCATTGCTTGCTGGACGAAATATTCAGGGGCAATTATCAACTATCCTTACAAGAGCTACCTGTGTAACGGGGACACTACTGGTGAGGTATGCGGGTAGTAAACTCCACCTCGCTTCTAATTGAAGGTACACCCCATTGGTTCATTACCTTAACTGTGGAACTGCTTTGCATTTACAACTGCGTGATACCCAGTGAATATTCACGAAAAATCAAGAAGACGCGTGAGAATGTTCAATTTTTAAAAACAAAATCGGTATGAAATTTTTGCTTTGCGGTGCACAATTGGAGACCTAACCAGATTCAAACATGGTGGTCCAACAATGGAGGGTGTAGGATTTTTGCAGCTTTCCAACGTCGGAGGAAAGTATAGTACTAAGCCGGTGCCGTTTGAGGATTTTATTGTAACAAAGGCTCTAAAAATGAAATAATTCACTTCTTCCCAAAAAATAAAGTAAGACTGAAGATTCTGGGAAAATGAAGCGCAGCTATTCAAGAAGACCGTGAGAATGTTCAATTTTTAAAAACAAAATCGGTATGAAATTTTTGCTTTGCGGTGCACAATTGGAGACCTAACCAGATTCAAACTGGTGGTCCAACAATGGAGGGTGTAGGATATTTGCAGCTTTCCAACGTCGGAGGAAAGTATAGTA